TTCGGTGTTGAATGCCGCGGTTCAATTGGAGGACAACCAAATAAATGAATATACTGTAGTTAAACACACTTGTACCTACTGTGATCGTGCCTACAAAACTACTGGTAAATTCTCTTGTTTAAATGTGGAATTTGTATTGAGTCGTAAATTTGGCTTCTACCTCATCTACGCCTATCTGCCGTCGTTGTTGGTGGTGCTGATTGCGTGGATGTCCTTCCTCATTGACTGTGAGGCGACAGCTGCAAGAACCTCGCTCGGTTTACTCACTGTTCTCTCCTTAATCACACAAAGTGCGGCTGTACTGTCTCAACTACCTCGTGTGTCCTACATCAAAGCCATTGACATATGGTTCTTCACGTGTTTCTCCTTTGTTGTTGGAGCCCTGTTGGAATTTGCTTTTGTCAACACAGCCAGTCGAAAGGAGGCTAAAATGCACGAAACACCAAAAACTCCCGCTTCCGACTTCTCGGAGGTGGACAATACAACAAGCGCCTCCTTGAGTGCGCGAACGAGGATGTCGGGACGATTGTCGAATCGAACAAATGTTCACTGTCTCACGGCTCGATGTTTGGATCGAGTGTCGGCAATTGTGTATCCTCTTTGTTTCCTTCTCTTCAACATTATCTACTGGTCTATCTACCTCCACCAATCCACCTAGGATGGTGGAAAATAAATGTTGTATCGTAAATGGTGCCAAAATGGGTGTTTAATTTACCTATCAAGGGAGGAGGGGAAGTAATAAAAGCGACAGAGAGGACAGAGTGTCTCCCTTTCAGGGCAAACGAGGCGTGCATTCTTTGGGTTGTCATTTTTGACATTAGAAGGTGGTAGAGATTTAAGTCACGGTGGGAGTGGAGGAATGGAGATGTGGAAGCGACTGTGCTGAAGTCATTCTGTCCACTTCCATCTGCATATTGCAATGCACTGACTTTGTGGTGGGTGGACTGCGCTGTGCGATGCGATTGGCTGACCTGAGGGTCAAGTCAGAGCTCCACGTCGTCCTCTTCCCCCTGCCATCAAGTGTTCAGCCCACTTTCTGCTTTGCATCCATTGTGACGAGCAAATGCATCGAGCTGACGAATCTCTAACTTACTCACAACAGGCGATTTGAGGACGACTCCTGTGTTTCACAACTGCGCTATTTTAGTTTTTTACACGCAACTTCATCGTAAATCCTTTGGCACAGTTCGGTTTTGGTGTTCTTCCCATCACATTTTGCGTAGAAATGTGGACAATTAGGGTGTGGTGAAATGTCGTGCTCTCAGGACTGTGGTTGATGCCCTCTTCCCTGCTATGCGCTCCCTTTGTGAACAGGTGCTCCAATTCCTCTTTCTGATGGT